GTGATAGAGGGTGGGGTCCACTCCAACGCGGTCCGCGATCTCGGCCTTAACTGGCAAATGGAACAAACCCGATGCCCGCTGAGCAAAGGATGGGACCCCGGGCCCTTTTGGCAGAGGGAGGAGACCCCGCGCTTGCTCCAGCATGTGCCGAGACCCCGGGCCCTCCTGGCGGAGAGGGGATACCGCAAGGGCTCCAGTGGGGCCCGGGACCCCTGCCGCTCCTGACGGAAGGAGGGGACCGTGACTGGATCCTGCGGTGGCCGGGACTCCGGCCCCTCCTGCACCCACTCCAGCCAGGACTGAGAGCCTGGCCCCTCCTTGCGGAGAGAGGGCACCCCACGCCCGCTCCAACTAGGGCCGGTACCCCAACACTTCCATCCACCCCACTCGGGGGCAGGGCCCCCGCGCCTGCCAGACTGAACCGGGGATGAGGCCCCGGGCACCCCCAGGGAGGATGGGGTCCCAGCGGCCAACGTGCCAAGCCCGGGGGTGGTGCTTCGACGGCTCACAGGTCAAGCTAGCGGGCGGGGCCCCAACCTCCTGGCGCCCCAGCGACATCCGGCCTGAGAAAGGGTGGGGCCTTGGTGCCTTCCGACTGGAAGCGAAGCCCAGGTGGCCCTGGGGCCGAGTCAGGTGCGGAACCCCGACAGCCCCGGCTGTGAACGGGGCTCTGGCTGCCAGCGTACCAAGCGGAGATTGGGGCCATGACACCCCCGGCGAGGGGCGGGACACCTGCGGCAACCAGGCGGAGCTGATGAGCCTGGCCCTGGCAGCTACTGGATCAAGTGGGGGAGGGAAGGGAGGGTGGGCGGGGTCTCGAATCCCTGCTGGGAGGCAAGGCCCCTGCGGCGGCCACTAGGTCGCCCCGGGTGGTGGGGATCCGGGTGGTGGGGATCCGGGTCACCCCGGCAGGGGTCGCGGCCCCAGCGGTTGCCAGGACAAGCTTGGCGACAAAGCTCTGGGCATCCCTCCACCCCCGGTGGGGAGTGGGGTTCCCCTGTGACCTCCAGGCTGACCCGGGGGATGGGGCCCGACCTCCCTTGGTTAGGGACGGGGTTTTCACAGCAGTCCTGCGGAGAAGGGGGCCAGGGCCCCAGGCCCTGGTTGGGGGCCGTTATCCCGGTTGGGGGCCGTTATCCCGGTGGCCACTGGGGCAAGCTGAGGACAGGGAGAGAGGAAGGGTCCTTGTGGGCCGTCAGACCTAGGCAGGTGCGCGCCCTGATCCCCAAGCTGGGGAGGGGGAGGGGGTCCCTTGAAGCCGCCGGGTCAAATCAGAGCGTGGCCTGTAGACCTGGGCTGAGAATGAGAAGGCTGAGGCGGGTGATGGCACTAAGAAAAATGATCCAAAGCCTGAGAAAAAAGGCAAAAACACTATTATATGCCTTTTCTGTGTCACACTACAGCACTGTCAATAGGCCCAGCCAAAGGTCATGTCACCTTCTATAAACACAACTTTGTCACTATTTACTACTATGGTAGAAAGCAAATTAAGCCCAAGTGGTTTTATTCAGTGAAGATGAGAATGACATCTGTCTGGTAGAAAACAGAATGTCTAACTTTGGCAAATCAAGAACTAGAAGTATAAAAACATGAATCCAGACACCTGGAGGCAGAAGAAGCTCCGACAGTGGCAGTTGCCTCGTGGAAATAAGACGTGTTATTTTGTAAGAATCTTCTTTTAAACAACGTTTTAAAGTATAAGAAATAAAAAAAGTAATGTTTTATTGACATTGTTGACAGTAAACAAAAGTCGACTAGGGATTCCCTCACCAAAAATGGTATATTGGAGGGCGATTGCAACCCTGTGCATGCAGACACGGAACCTATGGCACAGAGGCAGCAGGAAGCTTGGGGAAGTGGGGGAGGAGGCCAAGCTGTCACCCTGGATACCCTCTGCAGGGCTTTTGAATATGTAGGATGTGAAATGCCTCCCACAGGCCTTCCTGATTCTTGTCTAGGCTAAGGTTTCTGTCATGAACTTTGGCAACACGAAGGCTTATTTACAACCACTGTTCTCAGCGTCTTCAGCCAGCCCCCTGCCCGGCTGTTCATGATCTACAGGACAGTCTTCAGCTGCAGCTCCGCCCCTCAGCAGGCCCGGTGCAGGGAGACATACAGCAGCTCACCAAGAAATCATCCCACTCAACTGTTTGTTCTGCAGGTATGATTTTGGTGACAAGGTTCCTGACACCCCCCCCCCAGAACCCTAGAGCCCATCACCAGTGCATCAGGCCTTCTGGAGCACCTGGTTGTGGTCCAAAGAAACCAGATGCTTCAGCAAATGTTGGTCTGGAGGTCACGGAAGTCAAGTGCAAGAATGTGTGATCTAGCAGGTGCTGTGTGCAAGATGGGTGTGCCCCGGCAATTGCCTGACAATCAGGGAGCTGCTACTTGGGGGACCTGTTCCACACTGTGCTGTTTCTCAAACATGATGGGTCAACCAGGGGCCCATGGAAGTCAGCTCTCTGGTTTCACAAGCTATGAGATTGTTGTGTTTTATTTTGATCACACTCTAAATGTGTTATCAGAACCTCTTCTGGACCACCTGGATGACCACCTTACCCCAGAGCCACATGATACCAAGACTCACGTTCAACTTTTTGTTTGAGCTCGTATCTGTGCCAAGTGATACTCCAGGGTGTCACAGTGCCTGTATGAACAAAGCGTTCTCAGTAGAGAAAGGAGGTGAGAAAATTGAATCATCACACAGCCTGTGGTAAAGTAGAAGTGCTGTAGCACTCAGAACCCTAATCATGTCACAAATCTGTTATGGATCTGGAATGGTCAGGTATAACAATTGACAATGTAACAATGTAAACTGGCAGATGTAACAATTTGCTGCACTATTATGTAACTAGTAGTAGATATCTGGTAACTGATTCTTCTATGGGATACTCCAGAACTAAATAACTTAGTCCCCATTTTAGTGTTTATTTGTATAAAACTGCAATGCTGGGGTGGTCAGATGGCTCAGTTGGTTAGAGCGCATGCTCTGAACAACAAAGTTGCTGGTTTGATTCCTTCATGGGATGGTGGACTGCGCGCCCACCCTCCCCCCGCAACTAGATTGAAAACGGTGACTGGACTTGGAGCTGAGTTGTGTCCTCCACAACTAAGATTGAAGGACAACGACTTGACTTGGAGCTGATGGGTCCTGGAAAAAACACACTGTTACCCAATTTAAAAAAATTGAAAAAAAAATGGTTAAATGACATATTTTAAAAAAACTGCAATGCTATAATTATATTTAATTGAAGAAGAAAACTTTAAAGGATGGGGAGAGGGCTGGCCGAGTGGCTCAGTTGGTTAAGAGCTCGCTCAAGAGTTTGAGCTCTGAGCAACAGCGGCTCGATTCCCAGCCCGAGCTGAGCAGCCGCTGAGCTGCCAACAGGTAGCAGGATGGCTCAGCTTAAAAAAAAAAAAAAGGATGGGGAGACAGCATGTTGAATTGGTGCTTACTGAGTGCTTACTGGTGTGCCTTATAAGAGTGTGTCATCTGATTCTCGAGAAGTAGGAAAAAGAACGTAAGTTGCTGGTGTACTTTGGAGGCTTTATTTAAGCAAACAAAATTTTTTGCAATTGTAGTATCAGAGTCAAATTTATTACATACAGAACCAGGTTTGAGCGACATCTTTCTGCAGTTATACCCACAACCAGTTCCATACTGTCATCAGAATGTATCGCCTGGGGGCCGGCCGAGTGGCGCGATGGTTAAGAGCTGGCTTGGGATGCCAGAGGGCCCCGGTTTGGATCCCATATATGAGGGCCAGTGACACTGCCCTCCACAGCTAAGATGCTGAACAACAGCTCAACCTGGAGCTGGGCTGCCGTGAGTCGCCGGCGACGGCGTAGGCTGCAGCCCCTGCCGCAGTGGGTTGCCATGGGCTACCGTGTGTAGCCGGCAGCCATCGTGAGTGGTCAGTAGCCGGGTGAGCGGCCGTCCACAGGCCGGCGACTGATCTGCCTCACCCGGGAAGAGCGCAATGATGGTGCCAACTTGGGCCAGTGAAGCAATGTCCTCCACAACTAGACTGAAGAACAAAAGGACAGCAACTTGTCTGTTCCCCTTCCCCCAATTCCCCAATTAAAAAAAAAAAAAAGAATGTATCACCTGAAGCAAGGCTAGTGGGAAGGCAAGGCTCTGTGTTCCCAAAAGAAACCCCTCGCCTGCAGTATTTACAGGGAGCATGTGGATGGTGCATGTGCAGGAGGGGAAGACCAGAGGAAGCCGAGAGAAGGCACAGCTGGGAGACCGCATTGACAGTGGCTGTGTAGCAGTGTCTTCTTATACACCTGCTCTCCCACCCACCCTGTCACCACTGGCAGGGCCTTTCTCCCCCAGCTGTACTCATGCCATCACTCGTGCTGACCTCAGCTTCCTCTTTGTTTTCTGTTTCATTTTATATCTGTTTTAGCTTTTGTACGGTTTAAACATATGAAGCTTAGATTTGGCTTTATGTTTGCACGTTAGCTTTAAGACAAAAATAATTTAATCTAATTATTATTAAAAACTATTTTCTTTAAAAATTTCTAAGCCTTAAAATGACATATTACACACCTGGGAGGTGTACTGGCAGCATAAAGAATATGGGAAATGTAGCCCAAATAAGGAAGAAAAAGCAAAACAAAAACGAAGATTAGCTCCACGTTGGTCATGCCACCTTGGTTCCTGGGTGAGGCTCGTGAGCTCTGAAGCTTCTTCACATCCGCCTCCAGGAGATAATCCTGAGGTGTAGGGTTCCAACATCCTTGCACAGGTGGCTGGTGGGATGGACTGCTTGGGAGGACAGCCTGACATCACCCCTCCCTCCTGCTTCCAAGGCCACATTTTATTCCTCACTGCCGTGAATTCATTGCTTCTTCTCCAGTCACAAAATGAGATGCCAGCAGGGCCCTGCCCTGGTGTGAGATGACACTGAGATAATATAGAGGGGAACACCCTTGGAACTAAAAAATTTAAGACAAAGACTCCTGATCCAGCTGCCACTCCCAGGCTAAGTTCAAAACCTGATATGTAAGTTGAAAGCAGTGTTGTAATTGGTACCCTGGTCCGAAGTGAGGAAGATGGGCTGGCCTCTGTCAGCGCTGGCCAGGAACCAGCCCGGGAAGGCCACAGACTCGAAGGTGGAGGTGGAGCCCAACTGAACATGGTAGAAGAGGAAGGCCCTCACAGGCTCAGCCTCGTTGTACAGATCCAGTATCTTCTCCTCCTGAAACAGGAGAGGATACCCAAAAGAAGGACGGGGCTCTCAGCCGAGCTCAAGTTACTCATGCATACCAACAAATGTGCCAAAGCTCGAGGATGCCCACCCATCTACCAGAGTGGGCCAGAAACATACATTTCAAAGGAGCAGCAAAGAGCATGCGTGACAACTCACCTCCCAGCCCAGACACAGTGCAAGGAGGATACAGGGACAGGCCAGTCACAAGTGTCTGTGCCCAAACAATGAATCGGAACTCTACTCACACAAGAGGGGACCTCCAGGAAAAGGAGGGACATGCAGGCTTGCAGCAGGAAGCCAAGAACCGACCCCTTGACCAAAGCTGACAGTGACAGCCGCCCCCTGCAAGGACCCTGCTTGACGAAGGTCCGCAGGTAGGTGGGCTGGGTCTCTGGCCAACTGCCAATATGTGAGAAAGGTCAATGCCACTGAAAGATGCAAAAGGGTCTAACAGACTGAGAAAGTCAACAGAGCTGGCAGAAAGCATGTCCGCATTGTAGCTAGAAGTGTACTTGTAAATGTGAGGGTGCTGCACATTTAGGTAAAATGGGCACTTCTAAGTGAAGCACGAGCAAGATCTGCAGGGTCTCAGGAAAGACCCAGAATGCAGCCACACCCCACCCAATTAAAAAGAAGAAAACAATGAATGGGTAGAAAGTATGGAACACTAGGTGAAGCACAGAAGTTCCAATAACTGATGAGGGGACTCCCCAGAGGAGAAAAATACAGAATGAAGACAAGGATACATGTGAGGGAAGAATTGCCGATGTACGTCATTCACGGAAAACACGAGCCCTCACACACGAAGGGCAGGATCAGTCACAACGGCATCTACGGCACACAAGCAACTCAAAAGGTGCGAGGAGTCGAAATGCTTATGCTAGGCTAACAGTTCTTTTTTTAACTCCAAAATTAGATTTTCTACCAAATAAATTTCTTGTAAAAAAAATGGGCTTTTTTTCCCCACATTATGTTTCTCAGTCACTGACCTTCAGTTGCAATGCAGGCTGCCCTCCAACAGCCTCACAACACAGACACATTTCTGGATTCTGGATTGCGAAATAAATGGGGGTCCCTTTGCCTTGGTCAAGAGACTCTGGAAACTTGCACGGGAAGATAGTGACCATGACTGAAAAGATGAGCAGGGCAATGGTGTCAGTGTCCTTTTAAAGTCAGAAAAAGACCAGTGTCTTTTAGGTGGGGCTGGAAGAGACCTTAAGAGTGTAATCCTTGCCACCCCACACCCACCAAATTGCCGGCCACCATAGTCATCCATCCATCCATCCATCCATTCATCCACAGCATGTGCCAATCACTGCTCTAGGAGATGGAGCGAACACAAGAGCTGAGCAGAAGGCAGACCTCAGCTTAAACAGCTGGGGCTGCACCTCAAGCTGCCCTTCTGACCCTTGAAGAGCTCTGTACCTCAGCAAGTCCAGCTGGACATGATGGTGAAATGTGCCTTCCTCTATAGTTAGAGGTTTCCCTTTTAGTCCTGTTGGGACACCATGAAGTCAGGCAGACCAAGCCACCCCTCGTCCATAGGACAAGCATGCAGGTCCCGGCAAGCATCCTTCTCCACTCTCTCTGCTCCCTCCACGCTAGTCAAAACAAGCTTTTCCCAGGCAAGGATGACATTTTACTCCCCCTTGTAAAGCCACACTTTGAGAGAGCAGCCACAGGATGACCACTTACCAGGAGCCACACTGTCACTCCGTGGAACTGCCACTATGGTCTGACCCTGAAGGACCCACACCTGCTGACTCAAGTCGGAGATCTCATTGAACTGAGAGCCATTCACTGTGGTTTCAACAGAAAAAGAAGAAGGAAACATCATGATTGGACTTCTTTATGAGACGCTAAAAGAAGCTCATCTGGGTCCGGGTTTCCACCCCACCAAACAGGCAGCACTCATGTGACCCAGCCACCCAGCTTTCTTCCAGTAAAGCTGTGGGCTCTGGTGAGGGGGCAAGTGGCCTAAAAGGGTACACCGTCAGTTCCAAGGTACACATGTGATCCAGCCACTCTTTGACACCACTCTGTGCTCAGTCAAATGTGGGGTCTGCAGCTACAGAAGGAGTAGCACTGGTCCAGTGTGAGGCGGACAGCACCACAGGCCAGGGTCATACACAGGGAGGGGCTGAAAGTGCTAGTGTCCCAGCTCCCCAGAGTCCATCCCAAACTCACCTGTTTTAAGGGGTGATCTAAACATGAGGGCTCTGTAGATGGCTATCATAGTGGGGTTGGCTCAGCACCTGTGGCGGCAGTGAAAGGATAAATCAGCCTCAGGAGACATTTCTAAGACCTTCTGGGAACAATGGTGGCTAAGGTCGTCATGCTGGACAGGAGACCCCAGTCAGGAAACCTGATCCACCTCCTGGTAAAAACTTCAAGGCAGCCCCAGGGATGGAAGAACAGGCCAGTGACAGTACCTCCCCAGACACCAGAAAGGCAGGCAAGATTTTGACCTTAAATACCTCACAGCCCCTGGTGCCTGTGTCCCCTCCCACTGGCATCTGCTTCTGCCAGGAAGCAGGGGAGGGCCCTGAGCCGGGGTGGGAAGCACAAGCCCCAAACAGGACACAATGCAGGCCCCACCTTGCATGGTCTCACTGCTCTCCAAGCAAGAGGACTTTCCAGCCACCTGCTAGCAAAGAGGTAAGTATCTTTACCAAAAGTTCAGGGGACTGACATCTCCAGCAGCTCCCAACAGCAATGACAGGCTCTGACAGGCTGGGTCATTTATCTGATGAGCACAGGGAGGCTCCCGCTTCCTTGGTGGGGTGTGACAACTATGTAACAGGAAAGAAAGCCAGTTTCTCCTGCAGGAAGATCCCATGAGGTTCAGATGAAGAAATCACACTTGAGTTCCCTGGGCAGTGAGCACCAAGCCCCACAAGGAAACAGAGTTGATGACAGAGCCTGAGCTTCTCAGAAGGGGAAACTGAGGGATTTCCCTGAGCCCAGTTCCCCTGCCATGTCACCTTGGGGCTAGAGCTGGAAATGCTTTTGCTAAAGAGAGCCCTCCTCCTGGGCCCAGGAGGCCTGCCCTCCACAGATCCACTAAGGGGGTCCTTTGCCTGCAGGACAGCTTGCGTGCATTGGTGGTGTGCTTCTGGCATGATCCAGTGGCATTCCTGGCCACCCAACGGCGCCCCCTAAGTGGAGGGTCAGGCTGACAGCTGCCTACCTACCTTCTTTCAGACGGTAGGTACCCACCTCCGTCCCCTTGGGGAGTCTAGGCATTTAGAAACACACCCTTAACTGAGGCAGGCCAGGTTCCTGGTGTCCCCAAAATACAGCAGACTCCAGCAGTGCCTCAGTTCTAAATGAGGTAGGCAGTGACATCTCCATATCCAACCCCACTCCCAACATACCCATTCTACTCTAGTGATGCAGGACCTGGGTATGTTCTCAGCCAATGGTAATAGTTTATCTTCTTGTATAATATTTGTTACACCACCACTACCCCCACCCTTCACCCCAACTGCTGAAGTCCAGCACTGAAATTTCCTGAAGCACAAGTTAACTTGACAAAAGTGAATTTCAGGAGATGGCCTAGAAATTCCTACAACTTCATACACACCCATATAGCTGGGGAGAAAAATGCTGAGAATAAGACAGAAGCTTCTAGGTGAGCCCCTCCATGAGCCCCTCTTTCCAGCCCTGAAAGCAGCCCCTTGCTCAATGCCTCGTACTTTGCACCCCATTTCCTTCTTGGCCTTGGCGGGACCTGGTTCTTTCTGTTGAGGCCCCAATCCCATCACTGTGGCTCCCAGCTTATCTGTTCCTCTAGGATAGAGTGTGAGAAAGAATTCAGACATATTCTGTTCAAAGCCAAGCTCAGCCAGTGTCTGCTCTCCAGCTGATGAGCCTCTCACCATATGCCCTTTCTTAGGATGCTCCCCACAAAATAACACCTAAGTGGCCCTTGTCACCTGGCCCCACATTCCTTCAGGAGCCAATCTGCAAAGCAGAGCCCACATGAGGACTGGGCTGCACAGATATGAGAAGGCTGAGGAGTAAAACAGACTTACTGATGAATTCCAGGTGATAACGGTTGCAGGAAGGGAATGAGGGAAACAGAGCCCAGAGCTTGAAGGAGGACCTTGCAGGACTGATGCCCAGACCAGAAGGGTCCTCTCTCAAACCAACACTCAGGCCTCTGAAAAGAGAGTGCCATCTGGGGGTGCACGAGCCACAGCCCAGGGACACAGCCAGACAGCTGTATCTTTGTTGACTCAAAAGCCTTTGGCTGTAGCTTGAATTTTTCATACCTAGATAAAGGTTGCAGAAACCTGTGCATCTGGTGACATGTGCGCTGTTTTGCCTCAGCTCCTTGTCCCCTTCATCCTGCCTTGCCCTAGCTTCCCAACATTGAGAGAGTCCAGCCTCCCCAGAGTTCTCAGCAGCCAGCATCCATTCTGAAGCCCCCAGTTTAAACATTAGTGTGAATAAGTATCAGAGAAATTAGAGGAAACAGGGTGATGGCGACAAGATGGCAGACAATTGATGTGCAGAGAGCCCATCTGCTGAAGATGTGGGCCAGGATGTTGGTCTTGGAGTAGAAGGGGTATCCCATCTGTGTTTGAGAAAACTATCAGTATTTATGCTGGTTATAAAAAGAGAGGACATGCTTCTGCCATATAAACATCATCCACTTTACCAGATTCTTTCTGTTAATGTAGTACTGTCAAGTAGAGCGATGGAAATGATACATGTTGTTAAGTGTTGATGAATTGAATTCAAGTGAGTACTCAGAAAGCCAAAGGTCTTAGACACGGAAATACTTTTAAGAGGCCACTGAGTACACATTCTGATTGTTGAGCTCTGCAGTGTTATCGTCCATGCTTGTTTGGTGGCAAAGCAGCGGGTTTGCTCACTTCTCATGTCCATGTGAGAGCATGATCATTCACCACTAGAATGTTCAGAATCTGTTCATAGACCCAGAATCTCTATAACAACTTATTCATGTAACCAAGCTGGCAGTCACAACAAATAAAATGGAAGGGACCATGGAGCAGGAGAGATTATCTGGCCCCTACAGCTGACAAATACACAGAATCAGATTAATAGTAGAGAGAGATCCAAGATGGCGGAGTACATAAACACTGCACCTGCTTCCTTCCACGAATACATTAAAATTACAACTAAATTATCCAACAATCAACCTAGAGAACCATCTGAGTTCTGGCTGAACAGAAGGATATAAAGAAGACACATCGAGACTGGTAGGAGGAACAGAGATGCAGAATGGGTTCCACACCTGTGTATGATGGTTGAGAAATGGGAGAGATATCCCTGCTGCAGAGGCTCCCCAGGAGGAGTGAGAGACCCCAGCACCACACCGGGGATCCCCAGCCCAGAGTACTGGTGCCAGCAAGAGGAGCCCCATAACATCTGGCTGTGAAAAACAGTGGGGATTCCCACCATCCAGGTGGGATGGAAGGCTACAGAGAAACCCAGACATCCTCTTAAAGGGCCTCTGCACAGACTCATTCACCTTGGGCTCCAGCACAGGGACAGTGACTTGGCAGGGGGCATTGGAGGCATACGGGTGGGGGTGAGGGGCAGACTGAGGTGTGTGGACTCAGGGGGTGGCCTGGAGGACAGTCATCATTTTCCCTGTGTGGGATCCTATAACGCAAGAGCTCGACTCCTGGCAGGTTCTTGGATTTGGTGAGGCCAAACAAAGACAATGGAGCCTTAGGTAAAGGGTTCATACCACGGGTACATTCTTGAGGGTGGCCAGTTGAGACACAGGAACAGCATCCACTGGGCATCCATGCCCACTGGGGCAACCCCAACAGTTAAATAGCATGCAGGACAAAGGTGACTTACAGCCAGCTGGTTACATATGGGGGGCATCCAGGTGGTCTGTGCAGGCATGGGAATAAGCCAGTGACCTTGTAAGCAAGCCAAGAGCCTGGGAACTGCTCTCCTAGTGACCTTGTATGTGGGGCTGAGAGCGTGGGAATTGCTCTCTTAGCCCTGTCCCAACACTCCTGTACAGGAAGCTGAAAGCCTAGGAATTGCTCTCCTGGCCTTTTCCCTACACTCCACCCCTCCAGGGTCTCGCCTCACAATCTACGCGACAAGTGTCTTCTGCATGGGGCCCTGTGAGATGAACCTGGAGCATTGCATTATAAGCTACAAAAAACAACACAGTACAATAACAATACACTACAATAACAACATAATACAAGAAGGAGCCTGAAAGGGCACGTCTATTGTCTCTGCAGCCAACCATCCCATCCCATCCCACATTGAGTACCCCAACCAGGGGAGGGTTTTGTTTACCTGGCTCTTGAAGAAGGGTTTCAGTTTAGTCCAAGTGATGGTCCAAAGGGCACCCATCAGTGTCCATTGATGAACCAGAGCCATTCAGAGAAACTGGCAACTCGAATCCTCCATGGCAACCCAGAGGTCAAACTGGTGGGCAGCTCTGTTTAGACCCAACAATCTGACTGATTCGCCACACCAGCAAAGGTGTGGGTCCAATCCACCAGGGTGTTGGCCATCAAAGTCCTTAAGGGCAATAAGAGAGATGCTTTAAAGACACAAGCATAGGCAAATCTTGACCATCAGATAAAATACATGCAAGGGTATGGTCTTGTGATAGGACCGTGGCAGGAAGAGGTGGCCTGCCCAGCCAGGTGTACCATACCTTTACACCTCTACCTGACGGGGTTCCTGAGGGGTCTATATGGAAGGCTATTGGAGGGGCGTGCACTGGCCACAAAGACAACACAAATGTTCCCTTTGTAAATACTCTTTGGAGAGGCCATTCATGGGTACATCACTGTGAGTACCAGAGGCAACTCCACTACTACCCATGGGATACAGACAAGGCCTACATCAAGGCCTGTTTCTCAAGGGGCGACCAAGGTGTTCCACCACCTGTCTGTGACATGGAAGGTCCATGGTCATGCCAACATCTTGGTATCACAGGCTGGATGGCCTGAGGGGCAGGAAGCCGAATATTATTTTGAGTTTCACTGAAATCCCAGTTTTAGTGATTCATCCATCATCTGCACTTGCATCTGGATAATGACTGCAGAAAGTTGCAGAAGAACATCTATCAGTGTGACAGCTCCCATCCACAGTCTTTCATTTAACTGCTGCAAGACCGTCCACAAGCAGTGGGACTAGCCATGCAATGAACCAGACTCCAGCTTCAAACCCCTTTTCAACAAGCCATTGTGGCACTAAATGTTTCCTGTTCCCTGTGGGTTATATGAGGTATGGAACCGCCAGGTAACATCCAACTCCTGAAGCCATTGCTGCACCTGGCAACCCATAAAGTGAGTCCCTTGGTCACTTGCAATCACCTTTGGGTGGCCACAAGCAACAAAAAGGCATTCAAGTCCTTTCTTCACAGTCTGTTGGTTGGGCTGCCTAGCAGGGAAAGCCACTAGGAGCCCTGTGGCTGTGTCGACACGTTAGCACATACCGATAGCCTTCAGAAGTTGGCAGAGAACCAATGAAATCAACCTGCCATCAGGCCAAGGGGGTTGGGCTCCGGGCCACCTCTCCCTACTGCTGCAGGACACAACAAAGAGTCTCTTTTGAAACAGACAACATAGCCTTGGTAGGCTTGTGTTACCTCATCAAATGTTAGGGGCAGTCCCCATTGTTTTGCAACAGCCCACATGGGTTTTTGTCCTGCGTGCAGCAAATGCCTATGCAACCATTGGGCAACGTCGCTTACTGGGGCTTGTTCCAACCAGTGCAACTTGGCTAGTGTATCTGCTTTATCATTCCCAGTGTCACTAAATGGGCATGTCCTGTAACATGGAACACAGTTACCCCTTTTTCATGTCTGAGTGTCCTGAACTCCTGCCACATTTCTCAGCCCCACAGGGGGTGGTGCTGCACCATCCAGTCATCTACATACCACATAGAGAGCCACAGTGTTAAACCTCAGTACACTGCCCAACTGTCTGTGCAAACAGTCAGGGAGGAGGGCTCGTTGATCACCACCAACCAGACAGTCCACAGTTCTGCCCACTGGCTACTCCGTTCCATGTCGCTGTCCATCCAGATGGTCTCCATGCTTGGTTGAAAGGCCACCACTCGCCATTGAGCCGGCTGTCCCCTACTGGACCCATCCCTGTAACAA